ATAATAATAATGAGGACAGTGTTTTTAAGTCAGAAATTGAGGGTCTTATCTTATAGTTTTAGGCAGGATTTTTAAATTCAAGCACAGGTTTGACTATCCCTGATAACATGTGCATGTATCAGGTAAAATCTCACAGGAATATGAACCCAAACACAGGTTTACTGTAAATAGAAGAGCAAACATCAGGTAATTAACAAGTTCGCAGTATCTTTCTGGGATAGTATAAACACCTAAAGATAATTGCTCTTTCCACTTGAAAAACACCAACGTCACAACAACGTAAAAGAATATAAAACAAGATTACATAGGAGAGTATAACTGGAAGATGATCAGACGATTAGACAGGAGGAGGTTATCCAGAGAACATGACTACAAACTCCATGGCACAAACTCCTGTGTCAGACTCCAAAACTCACCTGCCTGGAAGTTTCGAGGAATCTTAAAGACCTTAATTACCAAGTTCAGGTCACATGACCCAAAAGTCAGATTTGAAACATTTGGCAAAATGCTCTTTGCTCCAGAGAAAAGAGATGAGAGGTTATGTGAAGTTAATATAAATCCTAAGTGCCCTGACTGGACATATTAAGTGCTGCTCTCCTGTTCTGGCAAGTCAGCTGGCGAAGGGAAGAAAGCTTGAACAATGACCTAACAAACAGTCAGGAGAGGCCTCATCGGACCGTAATCCGGCCTCAAATGCAATATGACTTTGAACAGCCCAGGGGCAAAATCTAACCAGGATAAGGCAAGTGCAAGGCAAAGTAATCACCAATAACAGAGCCACCTTGAGAGTCAGAAACTTCTCAGAGGCTGACTCCGGAACATCTGATAAGACTTCCGGGACTACAGCGACATGCCAAGTATCCCAAAGAAAAGTGTAGCAGGGGACAGAACTGCTGAAAGATGTTCAGGAACCAGCAGCCATATCACCCTGTAGCCCAAGACTGGTTGCCTACTGAAGTTAAGCAGGGTTAAGCCTGGTCAGCAACTTGATGGGTGACCTCCAGGGAAAACTAGGTTGCTGTTGAACAAGGTGTAAGTGAGGCCCTGTGGTCTGTGTGGGTCCTAATGATGGGGACACTATACTGTAACAAGAACCGTCCATCGGAAGAGACGTTAAACTAAGGCCCTGACTCTCTGTGGTCATTAAAAATCCCATGGCACTTCTTGGGGGTTAAGAGTAGGGGTGAAACCCCGGTGTCCTGGCCAAATTTCCTCCATTGGCCCTTATCAATCATCCCCATCCACTGAATGGGCTTGATTACGCTCTCTCCTCTTCACCTTTTGCTGATGTGCGGTGAGTGCAATGGTGCCATTGTTCCGTGGCTGCTGTCGCATCATCCAAGTGGATGCTGCACAATGGTGGTTGAGGAGAGATTGCCTGGTAGGACTTAAAGTATTTTGGGTGTACAGTAGTACATAGTAAAGCACTATGTAAATGCCTCTTTTCATTTCATTTTTATTTCAGCTCAAGCACTGAACTGGCAGTGAACTGTGTCGATATCGCGCTGAGCGCACCATGATGCAAAGAGATGCCTAATCAGGGGCATAATGTTTCCTCATGGGGGGAGCTCTAGCATTTAGGATGGCCTTAACAACCTCAGTTTAGAGACTGAAATCTGTAAGTTGGTCCCCTACAGGGGTCAAATCCACAGCATCTAAGTATTGGGCAGAGGGTGGAGAATTGCACACCGCACCTGAGACTGAAGGTCGTGCCTGGTCGGAATTTCCCATGGAGAGCCTTTTGGGAAAGATACAAGGAAAACAAGACTCAGGCCGGCCAAAATGGAGCCACTAGCAACAGCCAAACTCTGTCCCGGTGAACTCTCGATAGAACTCCCGGGAGCAGAGTGATCTGGTAAAATGTTAACAGACACAACCTCTGCCACGTCTGCACCATGGCATCCAACTCTAACTGAGCTGGAAATGTGAGGGCGAAGGGAACAGTGGGAAGAGTGCGGTCAACAGTGGGGAGATTTGAGGGGGCCAACCTCTGAGGGAGGAGTCTGTGGACAACAGTTCGCCCCCAGTGTGAAATCAAAGGCATAAAAATCGGGGCTCTTAAACATAGAAAGTGTACAAAGACATCAGCGCATAACCCTTATTGTTTTCAAAGGGTTGCCTAATGGGTGAAACCCACTGCTCTTGACCCACAACACATTGGGAGTGGCTTCCATAAGAACATAGCCTGAGTACTTTCTTGGCTGTAAGGATGGACTTGACCCGACCCGAGCAGGTGACAAATGTGCCTGTATCGATGTTAAGTCCAACCTCACAAAATTCTTCACAAAAGTGGGGAGAGCATGCTTTTACACTTGAAGCGGACAAAACGAGATTGATTTCAAAACACATTTTTTTTAGACTGAGCTACAATCAGACAGTTGACAGTGTAATTCAGTACACGGATGCCCTGAAGTCGCAATGGAGTCAGGTCGGCAACGTGCATTGCCTGGGCCGGCAGTCTTGACTAGGGAGGACACAGGCAGACACACAAGCCCTTTTCTCCCCCTACTCCTGTAGAAGCCACAGGCTTCTGGAAGTGGGAAGGGAAAAAACTGTCATCGTCTGCTTTTTGGCCACCTGAAACCCATCGACACCAGAGTTGACTGTGTTACTGAATAGTCCAGATGGTGAATTTGGGCATCCAACAAGAACGTTTTTTTCCTTAATGCCGAAGAGGTGTAGCCACAGATGCCTCTCTGTGGCGACCATTTTAGTTATTGAACAATGGCACAAGCTGTGTAGTAGATAGTACGGAGCCCCCCTATTCCCACTTTGGCAAAAAAAAAATATTATAACTATCTTGTGGCGTCAAGATAGTAACTTGTGGCCTCAAGATATTAACCCGTGGCCTCAAGATACTACCTCGTGGCCTCAAGATTGTAACTTGTGGCCTCAAGATAGTAACTCGTGGCCTCAAGATAGTAACTTGTGGCCTCAAGATATTAACCCATGGCCTCAAGATACTATTTCATGGCCTCAAGATAGTAACTCGTGGCCTCAAGATAGTAACTTGTGGTCTCAAGATATTAACCCGTGGCCTCAAGATACTAACTTGTGGCCTCAAGATATTAACCCGTGGCCTCAAGATACTATCTTGTGGCCTCAAGATAGTAACTTGTGGCCTTAACATAGTAACTCGTGGCCTCAAGATAGTAACTCGTGGCCTCAAGATACTAACTCGTGGCCTCAAGATACTAACTCGTGGCCTCAAGATACTATCTCGTGGCCTCAAGATAGTAACTTGTGGCCTCAAGATATTAACCCATGGCCTCAAGATAGTAACTTGTGGCCTCAAGATACTATCTCGTGGCCTCAAGATAGTAACTTGTGGCCTCAAGATACTAACTTGTGGCCTCAAGATATTAACCTGTGGCCTCAAGATACTATCTTGTGGCCTCAAGATAGTAACTTCGTGGCCTCAAGATAGTAACTTGTGGCCACAAGATAGTAAACTCGTGGCCTCAAGATACTATCTCGTGGCCTCAAGATACTATCTCGTGGCCTCAAGATACTATCTCGTGGCCCAAGAAACTATCTCGTGGCCTCAAGATACTTTCTCGTTGACCTCAAGATACTATCTCGTGGCCTCAAAGATACTAACTCGTGGCCTCAAGATACTAACTCGTGGCCTCAAGATAGAAATTTGTGGCCTCAAGATTGCAACTCGTGGCCTCAAGATACTAACTCATGGCCTCGCAGCCTCAAGATACTATCTCGTGGCCTCAAGATACTATCTCGTGGCCTCAAGATACTAACTCTATCTTGAGGCCACGAGTTACTGTCTTGAGGCCACGAGATAGTATCTTGAGGCCACGAGTTAGTATCTTGAGGCCACAAATTACTATCTTGGGGCCACAAGATAGTTGTAATTATTTTTTATTTTTTGCCAAAGTGGGACTAGGGGGGCTCCATAAAATAGAGAGGGCTGGCAGCACACATTGCTTATACTTTTTTCTAGATGCCATATTTCACTCATTCAAAACAGGGTAGACAAGCAATATCCTCCACACAAACACAGACATGCGGTTTCCGTATGACAAAGAAACTGATGACATGTATCTTGTTCCGTCACCTGAACTCGGACAAACGTTTCCACACATGCTTACGACACACTCAAGCAGAAGCGTTAACATTGCGTCGACGTCAGGAAACAGCGTTGAGTTCCCTCAAAAAGGAACTGGTAATCATAAGAATTATCTGAGAAATTGAAAACCCATTAGGATTGAAATTTCTGTGATGGCAGTATTGTATTTTTGGTAGCACCTTATTTTGATGGTCCCTAAGTAACTTTGCAACTACATGTCAACTAACTCTCATTAGAGTATTAGTAGACTGTCTGCTTAATATCTGCCAACTCTTTATTGTGATGCTCCTCCAACAGACAATCTACGGACTACATTGCAACTACATGTCAACTTATTCTATCCTTAAACCTACAAGTCTACTAATACTCTACTCACACTCTAGTGAGAGTGAGTAGAGATGTAGGTGCAACGTGACTTATAGTCACCTGAATGTGTTGAAGGGACCATCCAAATAAAGTGAAACCATATTTGTATCATTTATTTTGACCACGATATTGTAAGTGAAGCTAACTTTCACATCATGTTCACCTTAATAGTTGACATTTTAGCCAGCTTCCATGTACTGCTGGCCTCCTATCCTTCCAAAAGCGTGAACTAAATCAATAAAGAGATTCCCACCATGGACTGTTCAGAACAGTTACAGTTCTCACTGTCAGATATGATCCTCATCTTAATTATTTTGTTCCTTTAATTATACACATGATGTTGTAATTGTATCTCACATATACAGTCTTGTCTATTTCAGTCAGTTTGATGCTGCACAGATCTAGAGCACATAACCATTCATTGATTTACTCGGAATATCAAAAGCATTTTCTGTGGGTATTCTGTCACGGGGATTATGATGCTTGGCAAATGTTGAATAAAAGATTTGTAACGTTTAAAATAAACTGCTATTATGTGATGAATTGTTACCTGAGCCCATAAAGCACAGTGCCATCTGGATGAAGACGGATCATTCTGTTCTTCACTGTTACACCATGTACAAAAGACTTCTTGTCATTCAGGAAGTATGTATCCGGCACCCACAGCTGATCAGCTACCCTGTTATCCAGCGTCAGGTTAAGAGGAATCTCAGAATAGGACAGGCGTTTGTCTCGCCAGGCTTGCTGGAAATACATCGTCAATGTGTAGTCCTGAAAAAAACAAACCATAAACATAGAGAAGATTACTGAATTACCAGGTCTAAAGACAATATAAGAAGATAGGAAAGAAAGAGGAAGATATTTTAGGGAATATGTTTACATCCTTTGGGGGTTAATATTACATGACTGGCTTTAAAATTTGATGATGAAACGTTAAAAGCAAGATTGCGCACCAGGTTAAAAATGAGTGTTAAAACACTGGAGACTAGTACAGAGAGCACACTGGGACTCTAGAGAACAAAAATGAACCATTTCAATGATTCTTTTAAGGCATTGTTCGCCTAAAAATGCCGTCATGTCGTTCCAAACCTGCATGCTGATTTGGACTATCAAATAACTCACTGACCTTTAAAACAGCAATGACACTTTTTGCATAGGCATTTCAAAATGCAAAGCATTCATCAGCAAGCTACCGACGTGCATGACAAAGTACAAAGCGGGCTGAAGAATATGGGAGACTGGGAATGGTTGTATCATATTTTCCTTTTGATGTTTGTCTATTTCTTTTAACCCTTGTGCTGCATTCGATTTTTAACACCGTTGAGTGCATTAAGGACCAAAAATGGCCACATATTAAACATTGCCTAAAATATTATATATTATTATTATTTTCCACTTTTACCAAGTTAAATCTTTTAACCAGCATCAGTCCTCATCATAACTACCAAAAATGTATTAAATTTCAGGATTTTAACCCTTTAATTACCAGTTTTGTTTGCGAAACCATCGATTTGTATAAGAGGAAAAAACACAAAAATTCAATTATTTTCAATAAACTAAATGCAAAGAGAAAACTTTAGATTTGGATTATCACAGTCCCACTTTGCAAAAAATCCCACTTAGCGCGTTAGAGACCAAAAATGGCCACCTATTAAACATTGCCTATTGCCTAAAATAAGGTGCATTTCCACCCATAGGGAATAAATATGTAGTGACGTCATCTGGTGGAATACACTATATAATGCAAATATAATGCTTTTGCTTCAAAATGAAAGGATGTTTGTGCAAAAATCATGTTTCATGTATTACTGACAGCCTCAGATTTAAACAACATTTTAATGGGTTTCAATGGGCCATTTTTGGTCTTTATGGTGCTGAGTGTTACTATTTGATCTACACAGTGTGTGTTATACATATTTTGCAAAATGGGATCACATTTTTTACATGTATCCAAAAAGTCACAATTTTGCCAAATTTCATACCATTTGCATTAAAACAGCCAAAATGGTCAAAGAAATTAAACTGCAAAAGACCAAAAATGTCCCTAATGCAGCATAAGGGTTAAAGTAGGGCTGTGCATCCAAAATAAAAGTCTGTGTTTACATAATATATTTGTGTGTGCTGTATATAATTATTTTGTATATATAAATACTTATGCATGCATGTATATATTTAAGAATTATTTGTGCTTAAATTCTGTATATATATATATATATATATAAATACATAATCTATATTATATAAATATAAATATTTAATATATGAATAACACATTTTCTAAAATATATATATGCATGTGTGTGTATTTGTACATACAAAATAATTAGAAACAGCACATACAAATATATTATGTAAACACAGACTTTTATTTTGGATGCGATTAATCGCAATTAATTTTTGCACAGCCCTATTTTAAAGATATGTTTTCTTAGATGTTCTGAAATTCAAATCAAACCAAGTTGTGAAATGCATACAAATAATAATAATAATAATTATTAAAATAATAATCTTCATGGCATGTATTAGTTTCAGGACAAATATTATTTAAAAGGAAAGCAACTATTTAAATGTTCTTTATTAAATGGCAGAGGCACTCATGCACTTTTACTCATTTTATCATTAAAACTGGTGTCACACTGGAATTCGGCTTCATTGATTTGATTGGCCACCTCAATAATTTTAAAAATGACGATGTCAAGCTGCTAGACCATTTTAAAAATGTAACCTTTTCCAACTTTGTGCCATCTTAACAGCAGGGCGGTGCGTAATGAAGTGCAAGGGGGGCTTGTCACCCTCAGTGGTGGGCATGGGCCTAGTTTGTACACAACAACATTACTGCTGTGTAGCAGAACTCGTAGTGTGTTTGAGGTCCAGGAACCCCACTGATTTACCCTAAAATATTTTTAATTAGTTTCTGATTAGTTCTTAATTAAAACCAATAGGAAAATGTTGTAGACATGTATAAGTAAATTAGTAGATATATAAATAAATGGCTAAGTCTCAAAATTCACTAAAACATTTAGCATTAAAAGAGACTTTGCAAAAAAAAAAGTGCTAAATGCCAGTCCAATGTACCTCATAGGTGATGATGACATTTTTCTGTTTATACGCTGATAAACCAAATCTCAGATTCGCTCTCTTGCGGCAAAGCTTATTATGAAATACCACGCAACACCAGGCGGGCTTTCATGGCTTTCTCTTAGCATTACTAAGGAAAGTTTTAAAAGATACCAAGTCTCTGAGATTAAGAGAGTATGCTTTATATGATCAGTAAGACTTCTTAAGGTTCTAATCTTCTCCTCATGGTACTTTTATCAGGCCAGGTACTGGGATACCAAAGAGAGCTATCTTCTATTAGGATACCTGTGTGGCTCATAGTCTGGGAAAACTATATACATCCTATGTGCCACCAGAAACCCTACAATGAGGCAACAAACAACATAAAAATAGCTGTCACCATTGCTATCCTACATTTTCTGAGTGGAGGTGGCTGTCAAACGCTTGGAGCTAATGAGCACCATGGTGTACAGTAAGCTAGCGTGGGTGGGGACGGATGATGTTTTCTGACGAACCATGTGAGTAACATGCTCTGGAAAGAGGTTTTGGGAAGTGTCTTCTGAAGAATCATGGGGCAGCACCTGTTATTCAACCTCATCAGAGAGTTGACATCATCTTCAGAGTTCATATGGATTTTCTGCAGTGGGTGACCACCACTCAAGAGATAATCAAATGGAGAGGGTCGCCACATGATTGCAACAATTACTCGACACAATTAGAGCCGTCTGAAGTCCAATCTCATCAAGTTGTTGAGGTTAAATTTAGGAGTTCCAGCAAATGCATTACCAAGGGCGATATTTCTAACACAGTCTCATCCCAAGACGTCATTCAACTGACGCTTTTGACCATACGTCAACATCCGCCGTTTTAGGGTACCCTTTAACGTCAGTTAGACGACGATCCTGGGGCGTCATCCAACTGACGCTTTACCTTTAACGTCAGTTAGGTGACGGGGTAGGGTTAGGATTAGATAACGTCATCTAACCGACGTACCCTAAAACGGCGGATATTGACGTATGGTCAAAAGCGTCATATGGGATGAGACTGCGCTGATATTTCAGTAATTATCCTCTAACATTTCCTGAAAACTATGAGCATCAGATTTTTTTTATTAGGTTAACTTTAAGTCCCATTTCATTTATAGTAGTTCTTTCGTTTTTTGTCCCATAAATGTAACACAGTTCCAAAAATTTAAGTTATATCCTTACGAAAAAAGAAGATTATTAAAGTGTGAGGTAACACTTTATAATAACTACACGCTAATAATCATTAGTTAAGCATGAGTCTAATAATCATAAAGCATTAATAGACATTAATAAGCAGTTCATAAATACAGCTATAAATGTTTTCTTCTTGATTTAAAAGCATATCTATAATTTGTTTAATAATTGTATTTTCATCCTTTATTAATGATCAATTTATCATTTCTAAATGAAGAATTGCATTTTTTATGAACCAGTTATTTAAGAGTTTTCAGTGGTTCATACGATTACTTAGAGCGAGTAAGTAAATGATTAATAAACTATTTAAATGTACATTCATACATCTTATTATTCAGACATATAGTGATGGTTACTTAAATGCTTTATTAACATGTATTAATGCTGTAATTAAGGGTTAATTTGGGTAGTTATAAAGCATTTAGTAGTGGTCAGTTAACTATGTTCGTGAGCTCATCTAAAGTGAGGACTAGTCATGCCTTGTAAAGCATTTTTAAAGGCTGTTAAAGTTCTGTATCACTGTGTTGTGTTTGTTACATTTTACTGTTTAGAAGATTGACGAGTCTTTAAATCACCTTTATAAATGCTTTACAAAGCATGAATAGTCCTCACTTTAGATTAGCTCACAAAAATAGTTAACTGACCACTACTAAATGCTTTATAACTACCTATTTACTATATTTACTTACACTTTCTAAGTGATCTTATGAATGACTGACAACTCTTAAACAACTGGTTTGTAAATAATGCTATACTTCATTTAGAAATTATTAATTGATCATTAACAAAGTATGAAAATACAATCATTAAACGCATTATAGATATGCTTATAAATCAAGAAAAAAGCATGTATAGCTATATTTATAAACTGCATATTAATGTCTATTAATGTTTTATAAATGATGAATTAACTGTTTACTCATGCTTAACTAATGATTAATAGTGTGCAGTTATTATAAAGTGTTACCAAGTGGGATATTATACTTCTCTTAAACTAAAAATAAGAAAGTATACTTTCAGTCTATGTTTTATGTTCTTCTCAGAAATATACTTCAAATTGCACTAAAGTATACTTTTATACTTTAAGTATATTTGGACTATACTTGTACTCATTCTTTTGATTGAGATATACTTACAAGTATAATTAAGTATTCTAAGTATACTTGGCATACACGAGTCTTAAACTTACATTATTAGAAAATATGTTCTAATCTGAGTATCTGAATTGTTGTGTAGGCTAGTACTGGTAGTGTAGAAAAGAATATGCTTCAAATCTAATTTACAATTTACCCCTGAATTTTTCATCTATCCACGTTTTCCTTGTTATACAGTAGGGTGTGCTATTACGCATATCTTTTTGGTACAGAATCTCTGGATCAAAACACAAGTGAAGAAGAAGCTGATGCAAGTGATAGAAGATTGCTTGGTAAAACAACGCGATCCTCAAACATTAAAGGGACACTTCACCTCTGGAAAGATGAATGTGTATTTAAA